TTTATTTGACCCTTAATTCAAAGCAGACTTTCTATCCAAAATGGCTTCAGTTTGGTTCCTTCTTCCAAAAACAACCACCCTAACCAACCAGGTAGATTGGTGCACACGGTTGTGATGCCAATACTTGGGAAGTAGAGGAAGGGTCAGGCCTTCAAGGTCATCCTCTAATACACAGGAGGTTGGAGTTCAGTCTGGGCTATTTTTATGATGCTGTTTCAAAAACAAAACAACACAGACCAACGACAGGGCTGGGGATATAACTCAGTTGGTAGAGGGTTTGCCTGGCATGCACGATGGGGACAGGTGTGCTCTGTCCCCAGCACCACATAAAACGTAGTCCTGCCCACCCATAATCCCAGCACTCAAAAGGTGGAGACAAAGTGTCAGGCGTTCCAAGATCATCCTCAGCTACACAGGCAGTTAAGAGGCCGGTCTGGGTTGTATGAGACCCTGCTTCAAACAAAACAAAACAAAACAAAACTTAGCCGGGCGGTGGTGGTGCACGCCTTCAATCCCAGCACTCAGGAGGCAGAGGCAGGCGGATCTCTGCGAGTTCGAGGCCAGCCTAGGCTGCAGAGTGAGTTCCAGGAAAGGCTTGCAAAGCTACACCTGTCTCGAAAAACAAAAAAACACACAACAAAACTAAAACCGTAGTTTCCCAAGGACGAAGCAGCCTAGCGGCCTCCATTACCCAGCACGGAAGCGTCAGGGGTCACGGGGTCGCCAGTGCCCTCTCGGATGACATCCTTCAGCACACCTCGGTCCCCAGAAATGTCCAACATCCGCTGACTCAGTCGCTCGTAGGGAGACTGGGAGAGGAGAGAGAAAGCCACAGGCCCCGGGGGTGGGCGCCGCCGGCCGCCCCCCAGGACCCCCAGGTCCCCGTCCCCGTCCGTCCGTCCCCGCCCTCACCTGGCCCAGGACTTCGTCCCCGTCCAGGGCTCCGGGGCCGCGGGTGCTGCCACCCATGGCCGCGCTGCGGGTGCCCCCCACCTCGTGCTTCCGAGGTGCCCCGACCCCCTCGCTCCGCTCCGTACCTGGCAGTTGTCTCGCGCCGGCGGGATTCCGTTCCTGAGGCGCGAGAAGACGCTCATCTTGCCGCTCAACGGCCGCCAAACGCCTCGCCGGAAGCAACGCCTGCCCGGAAGTGAGGACCCCGGGCCGGGCCCCGGCGCGTGCTGTGCACGAGAATCACACGTGATGGACGCTGCCCCCCCCACCCCGCGAGCGTGCGCATGCGCCGACGCGGAAGCATGATGGGGGAACCAGGATGGTTGCGGGCCAAACCTTTGGTGTTTCATAAACAAGGGCTGGGCCGCGAGCCTCTAGGTCTCTGTGTTGCCCTTTGGCGTTCTAGCGCAGGTAGAACACATCGCCACAAAATCAGTGACTTAAAGCGACGCCTGCTTTTCAACCTCAGGGCTGAACAGTTAGATGTGCGATAACTTATTTTTGGGTGATGCTGAGGACCGGATGTAGGTCAACATTAGACAAAGGATCTGAGGCTGAACAGCATCCCCAGCCTCCCTTCAGGGGATTCCTAAGTAGGTCCCCATCCCTGATAAATGCATCTAGCCCTTCACTGAGGCGTCTGGGCAGGCTCTGTGCTGCTGAGCTATGTTCTCAACCCCAGACTTCACTTTTTTCCCCCGCCTGAGACAGGGTTTCTCTGTGTAGTCCTGGCTGTCCTGGAACTCACTCTGTAGACCAGGCTGGCCTCGAACTCACAGAGATCCGCCTGCCTCTGCCTCCCAAGTGCTGGGATTCAAGGTGTGCACCACCACAGCTGGCTCCAAGGTGTCAGATTTTAAAAGTTCGTCATTTAGTGGCATTGATGGAAAGGAGTCTGATGTCAATAGTACAACGCTTGTGACTGTTTTCACATCAAATTCACAAACAGGCACCACGGACCGGGCTAGGGATGTAATTCAGTGGTAGAGTGCTTTTGTAGCATGGTCGAGACCCTGGTTCTGTCTCCCAACAAGGCAAGAAACAAACCAGGCCAGGCAAGATGGGCAAGTGGGTAAGGTGCTTGCCACCAACCCTGCCAACCAGGACCCACAGGTAGAAGGAAGGAACCGACTATTGCAAGTTATTCTCCACCCTCCCCATGCATAAGGTGGCCTGTGCCTTCAAGCACACACAATAGATGTTAAAATAAGTAAATAAACACGGGCAGCTAGCATGCCATTGCCACCCTCACGTGGTCCAGGACTTCATCCCCTTCCAGGGGATACAAGCCAGGACAGTAACTGTCTTGACTGGGAGCCTGGACTAGCAGGAGACAAGAGACTTGTTGATGTTTTATTCTGTGATCTTTTGGGGGCCTGCCACCTAGCTTCCAAATAGATCACACATGGAGGCTTATTCTTAATTATAAGTGCCCGACCTTTAGCTTGGCTTGTTGCTAGTCAGCTTTTCTTAAATTATCCCATCTACCTTTTGTCTCTGGGCTTTTTCCTTCCTTTTCTTACTTTTTTTTTTGTTTGTTTGTTTTTCTGTGTAGCTTTGTGCCTTTCCTGGAACTCACTTGGTAGCCCAGGCTGGCCTCAAACTCACAGAGATCCACCTGGCTCTGCCTTCTGAGTGCTGGAATTAAAGGCGTGTGCCACCACCGCCCAGCCTCCTTTTCTTACTTCTATATATCTTACTTTCACTCTTTCTCCATGGCTTGCTGTGTGGTTGAGTGGCTGGTCCCTAGTGTCCTCCTCTCCTTGTTCTTTTGCTCTTCCTTCTTCTTCTTCTTCTTCTTCTTCTTCTTCTTCTTCTTCTTCTTCTTCTTCTTCTTCTTCTTCTTCTTCTTCTTCTTCTTCCAGATTTCTCCTATTTATTCTCTCTGCCTGCCAGCCCTGCCTATCCTTTCTCCTGCCTTGCTATTGGCCATTCAGCTCTTTATTAGACCAATCAGGTGTTTTAGACAGGCACAGTAACACAGCTTCACAGAGTTAAACAAATCTAACATAAAATAATGCAACACAGCTTTGCATCATTAAAAAAAAATGTTCCAGAGCATAGACAAATGCAACACACCTTAAAACAATATCCAACAAGAGGGACCCACACTGGAAATGCTCTACAACTTGATCTTTTGTTTTGTTTTGCTTTTGAGATAGTCTCAGGAGGCCTAGGATGGCTTTGAACTTGTTGTGTAGCTGAGAATGAACTTGAACTTCTGGCCTTCTGTCAGCACTTCCCAAGTCCTGGGATTACAGGTGTTCACCACCCTGTCCAGTTTACACCTTGACCTTGAGAGTGAACATACACAAGTAAGATATACATCACTGCATCACACTGTGTGGTTAAGAGCTGTTTATGTTACACCTCAAATGAAAAAAAATCAGATTAAGCAATGTGTTTTGTCAGTGTTTTGCACACACACACACACACACACACACACACCACATCTCATCCAAACCTACAAAACAAGAGAATATATAAATACATAAAACACCTTTAAAATTCTGGGTTGGGGGTATTCAGAAAGCTGCTTGTCATAGCGCATACCTGCTCTGGCTTGGAGTTCGTAAGTATGGAGGGCATGCTTGTCCCGCCCCTCCCCCACCCCGGGCACGGCCACTATCTGCCCCCTGGGTTATCATAAGGGACCCAGCAGAGGCTGCCGCCTCAGTCTCGTGGTATGACCCACTTTCCACCTGATTCTGGATGACCTTGGGGACACAGGTGTTGTTGGAAAAAAAGGGAGTGGAGAGGGGAAGGGGCGGACACCAGGCAGTGGGACTCTGTGTCCAGCTGGGTGCCCAGGTCTGTGCGTCAGCTGTCCCATTCTGGAAGAAGGAAGAAAGGGCTTGAGTGAGCAGACAGAGCTCCTGGTTTGAGACCTAGTGGGAGGCCTGGTGGACCACAAGAGACCAGGTAATGCAACAGTGGGGTGGGGATGGGGTGGCTGTCATGATCTAGCGGAGACTTCATTTCTGTTTCCACCGGGGAGCAGGGGCAGATGAGCACCAAAGCCTCTCCATCCCAGACTCCGAGGACAGCGTTGTTCGGGGACAAGGGACTTGGCCCTTGGTGCTGGGGATGTAGCTAGTGGATAGGTACTGACTTACCAGACACGCTTGAGGCCCCGGGTTCTATACCCAGCCCTTTATAACCTGGCTATCGTGGGGGCATACCTGTAATTCCAGCACTCCTAGTACTACAGCCTCAGGTGGAGGAGGAGGATCAGGAGTTCAGTCTCATCCATGGCTGCATACAGAGTTCAAGGCCATCACCGCTTACATGAGTCTGGTCTCTGAAGAACAAAACAAAACAAAACAAAACAAAACAATCTTGCTTTAAGATTGCCTGAGTGGGCCAGGCAGTGATGGTGCACACCTTTAATCCCTGCACTCTGGAGGCCGGGGCAGGTGGATTTTTGTGAGTTCGAGCCCAGCGTGGTCTAAAGAGTGAGTTCTAGTACAGCCAGGTCTACACAGAGAAAACCTGTCTTGAAAAACCAGAGAGACAGAGACAGAGACAGAGAGATGGAGACAGAGACAGAGACAGAGACTCCTTGAGATAGAATCCCAGAGCTGGGGCTCTGGAACCTCTAGGACTCAAAATAAAAAGTAAGGGGGAGGGGCAATACCTCATCAGTAGAGTACCTGCCTAGTGTGTGTAGGGCCCTGGGTTCAATCCCCAATGCTGGGGGAGTGTGTGTGTGTGTGTTGGGGGTGTGTGTTAATATCTCCTGACATTTGTGATGCTGGGGACTGAACCCAGGACCTCATGGATGGTAGGAAAGTAGCTGTACCTCTCTGACTTACACTCCCAGTTGAGCTGTATATCCAGACCCATAGTGACCATTTTTTTCCATTAAAGTCCTTTTTTTTTCTTCTGGATGGGGAAACTGAGGTTCAGGGTCATAGTAGGTTAAGATCAGAATCCAGGACCGGCATCCTTCTCCCTAAGCTTCCAGCATCCCTTGGGTTGGGGGCAGAAACGACAAGGGGAGGGAGTGGCAGGACCGAAGACCGACCGATGCCACCTGCCTTGCAGCTGCTGCGTGCATGGCTTGGCGCGCGGCCGTGCCGGAGCTACAGGACCAACTACAGTGCCCCATTTGCCTGGAGGTCTTCAAGGAGCCTCTGATGCTACAGTGCGGCCACTCCTACTGCAAAGACTGCCTGGACTCCTTGTCCCAACACCTGGACTCCGAGCTGCGCTGTCCCGTGTGTCGTCAGTGGGTAGACTACAGCAACTCCCCACCTAATGTCTCCTTGGCACGGGTGATCGATGCCCTGAGGCTCCCGGGGGACGCAGAGCCCACCGTTTGCGTCCACCACCGGAACCCTCTCAGCCTCTTCTGCGAGAAAGACCAGGAGTTCATCTGTGGTCTCTGCGGCCTGCTGGGCTCCCACCAACACCACCGAGTCACACCAGTCTCCACCGTCTACAGCCGCATGAAGGTGCGAGGGGCGGGCGGGCCTCTAACGGGAGGAGCGGAGCAAAGGGGCAGCTTTCCTGAGCTCTCTTGCGCCTCCACTCGGTGGAAGCGGCCTACTGCACCAGGGCTCCATTTCCCACCCCAACTCCATTTTGGGAGCATATGCCATGCATATACAAGCATGCATTACTGTTCATTAGTTTTTAACGTTTATTTGTTTATTGACTGTGTGCACTCGTGCACCACGGCATGCATTCGAGAGTCAGAGGGCAACTTGTGGAAGTTAGTTCCCTCCTTCCAAGTGGGGGTCCCATTCATTGGTTTTGAACAGTTGCTTATACCAGGTACTGGGGGAATGACGTGGATCCTCTCGCCAGACATTTCCTTTTCTTTTTCTTCCTCTTCTTCTTTGCATCTCTGGCTTGCTGTACAGACAGAAGGCTCAGTCTAGAGCTTAAGCAGCGCTCTACCACGGAGCCACATCACCAGGTTTCCTTTAGTTCGGTGAGATGTTTTTTTTTCTAGTGGTTTATCTGAGACAAGGTTTTACTATGGTAGCCCAGGCTGGCCTTGAACTCACTATGCAGGCCAGATTGGTCTTGACCTCTAAATCTTGTCTCATTCTTCACAGAGCTGAGATTTTAGGCATGCACCACCATGTTTTTTTTTTTCTTTTCTTTTTATGGTTTCTATTCCTTTCTGAGTGGACACATGTGTGCGTATGTATGGAGGTCAGAGGACAACTCCCAGGAACCCATTCTCTTCTTCCGCCACATAGGTCCCAGGATCAAACTCAGGTCACAGGGCTTCATTGCTGAGCCGTAACGTTGGCCTGGCTTCTTGAGAGCTCCTCAGTCTATCTGTTCACAAGCAGGAGGGCAGGACCTTTGTTCCCTGCTGTGGGTCAGTGGCCACGATTGTGGTTCTCAACCCGTGGGTCGTGACCCCTTAGGGTGAACCAGCCCTCTCACAGATGGCCTGCATATCATATATTTACATTACAATTCCGAACAGCAGCAAAATTAGAGTTGTGAATTAACAAAAAAAATAATTTCATGGTTGGGGGAATCGCCACAACATGAGGGACTGTATTAAAGGGCCACAGCATTAGGAAGGTTGAGAACCACTCTCTACAGCTAGAGCTGACAAGTAGCAAATGTTTGAAATATATATGTTAAATTGAATTCCTCAGTCTATGGATCTCAGGTGAACAGATCAACATTTACTATTTTAATTTTTTTTTCAAATGTAATATATATATAAGGCTTAAGAGTCATATGTGGGCTGGAGTGATGGCTCAAAGGTTAAGAACACTGGTTGTTCTTCCAGAGGTCCAGAGTTCAATTCCCAGCAACCACATGGTGGCTCACAACCATCTGTAATGAGATCTGGCGCCCTCTTCTGACATGCAGGCAGAACACTGTATGCATAATAAAATAAATCTTTGGGGGGAAAAAAGAGAGTCCTATGTATAAGGCTGGAGATGTGCCTCAATGATAGAGTGCTTGCCTAGAATCCCCCAGTGAGGGGCTGGGGTGTGGCTCAGTGGTAGAGCCCCTGCCTAGAATCCCCCAGTGAGGGGCTGGGGTGTGGCTCAGTGGTAGAGCCCCTGTCTAGAATCCCCCAGTGAGGGGCTGGGGTGTGGCTTAGAGTCAGAAAGCTTGCCTAGCAGGTGCAAGGCCCTAGATTTCCCCAGCACAAGAAAGAAAGAAGAAAATATACATAAAGTTTGTAAGTGGGACTGAAAGAGGTTAGTTTTCTTGTTCCTTTTGGTGCCTTTATTTCTTTCTTCAACCTAGAAAGACAGTATAACACCTGGGCTGGGCAGTGCCTGTGCCTTTGGCTTGCATGTACGCACTGGGTGTCTAATATGTGCAGGCACTGTGCTGTACTGCTAGCCTACTACTGTAGGCAAAAGCCTCCCCAGGTGCATCACCAAGTGAAGATGCGTCACTTGGGATTGGAGAAGTTCTGTGTGTTAGATGGAAGTGGACTTCCCATCTGAGATCTGAATCCCAAGGAAATAAGGGAGAAAAGAGGAGGAGGAGAGGAGGAGGGAGAGGAGGGAGAGGAGGAGAGG